AGATTTGTGGAACCTCTTCTATAGAAGAGGTTAGAACTGGCAGGAACCCATCTCTGCTTCAAATTGTGGATATATGCGCACAGGGAGTACATGTTTAAACTATTTGGCTTTTGATTACATTGTTCCAAGTAACCAAAATAGGCTTCTTGGACTCGACTGCAAAACCAGTCCTGCATAAAATAGTCCAGAAGAAATCACTTCTAAGGCATGCAGTGCCTCAAGAACCAGTGTGGGATAGTGATGAATGGTCTAAGACTGAGGAGATCCAGGTTCTTGTTCCACCATCATCCACCGAAGCACATTGGGTGACTTTGGGCCTGTCACTCTCTCAACCCAACATGATCAAAGGGTAAGAAGGCAGAGCTCCTGAACAAAATAGTGGAATATAGATGTACAAATACAAACACAAAGAAGAAGGAGGTCAACTTATTTTCCAAAGCACCAGAAGGCAAGATGAGAAACAATGGATGAAAACTAATCAAGGAGAGAAGCAACCTGGAATTAAGGAGAAACTTCCTAGCAATGAGAATAATTAATAAGTGGAACAGCTTTGCCTTCAGAAGTTGTGGATGCTTTGTCCCTGGAGGTTTTTAAGAAAAGACTGGACGGCCACCTGCCTGAAATAGTATAGGATCTCCTACTTGAGCAGGAGGTTGGACTAGAAGATCTCCAATGTCCCTTCCAGCTCTATTATGATTCTGATTCAATCAATAAATATGTGTTCCGATGTAGAAGAGCAGGCAGAGATTAGGTGGTAGAGTTAAGCATGTCATCACTTTAATGTCGTTATGTTCCCAAACAATCCAAGTCCAACCCCTTTTGAATTCCATTAACTGTTGTCAGTCACCAATTTAGCATTGAACTTTAGTTGACTAGATTCTTGTATATAGCAATTAACTGCAACTTAACATATGGTCCTGATCCTTTGCATCTGACATTTGAGCAAACTGTCCTTATCACTATACTCTGTCAGGATGATACATACCATGAAAACATTCATGTTAATATTATATATATATATATAACACACATGCAGTGTGCACATGTGCCTTAGTGCCTCCGCGATGCTCCAGCTGCTCCACGGAGCATCGCGCAGGTGCTGTACGCACCATGTGCATGCGCAGCAGCACAGCAGCTTTAAAACACAGATAAGGAGCTCAGGCGGGCAGGTGGGCCCTCCGGAGCACCGTACCACTCCGGTACGCCCATACCGGGGTGTACCACCTGCAACCCACCACTGATATGCATGAAAATAAACCAATAATGTGATAATATATCATACTATTAATTTATTAGATTTTTATCTCACTTTTATTAGTTTTATAAATAACTCAAGGTGGCAAACATACTCCTTCTTCCTCTTATTTTTCCAACAACAACTCTGTGAAGTGGGTTGGGATGAGAAACAGTGTCTGGCCTAGCTAGTCACCTTTTATGCCTGAGGAAGGATTAAAACTCACCGACTCCTGTGTTTTAATTAATGTAAGTTAATATTCTTTCTACTTTTCAGTAACTCTGTGTAGTTCACCTCAATCAAGTTATAATAAAACCAACAAAAGATAAAAGATGACAAAGGTGATGAAGCAAGTGGCCTCCTTCTGCCTTTCCAAAAGCCTAGGGGTAAAGCAGTATCGATAACATTGAGCAAGATGGCATAATTTCAGTCATCGATTGATCCCCAGAAGTTTTTAGCACCTTCAGACTAGGCCAGTGATGGTGAACCTATGACACACATTTCAAAGGTGAACATCATAATGTTTCAGGTAACATGCCAGTGTTTACTGGCCCTCACATCAACAATTCTCAAAAGCATGTTCTGTTCTCAAGCAATTTTCGGAGGCCATGTGAGAATGGCTGGTGCTCTTGTGTAGCCTCCGAACCTGAGGTGGCCATTTTTGATGGTAGTGGAGCAGTGGTGGGATTCAAATTTTTTACTACCAGTTCTGTGGGCGTGGCTTGGTGGGCGTGGCAGGGGAAGGATACTGTAAAATATCCATTCCCTCCTCACTCCAGGGGAAGGTTATTACAAAATCCCCATTTCCTTCCGATCAGCTGGGACTCAGGAGGTAGAGTATAGATGGGGGCAGGGCCAGCTAGAGGTGATATTTACCGGTTCTCCAAACTACTCAAAATTTCGGCTACCGGTTCTCCAGAACTGGTCAGAACCTGCTGAATACCACCTCTGTAGTGGAGGCACTAGAGTGAAGTCAAGGTCTGGATTTCGACTTCAGCCCAGGCTCAGCACTACTGCCAAATAGATGGGGTGGGGGAGAGATACAAAATTATTGTGTTTCGTTCAGTGGTGTGTGTGTGTGTGTGTGTGTGTGTGTGTGTGTGTGTGTGTGTGTGTGTGTGTCAGTAGTTCAAAAATGCATCAGGAAATCAAAAAAAATTTACTACCAGTTCTGTGGGCGTGGCTTGGTGGGCGTAGCAGAGGAAGGATACTGTAAAATCTCCATTCCCTCCCCACTTCAGGGGAAGGTTACTGCAAAATCCCCATTTCCTTCTGATCAGCTGGGACTCAGGAGGCAGAGAATAGATGGGGGCGGGGGCCAGTCAGAAGTGGTATTTACCGGTTCTCCAAACTACTCAAAATTTCCGCTACCAGTTCTCCAGAACTGGTCAGAACTTGCTGAATAACCACCTCTGGTGTGTATATGCTTGACATGGTGAGCCCAAAAGGTTCGCCATCACTAGACTTGTCAGTCTGAAAAGAATCAAAGTGAGGGCAATCTCCATGGAGAGACCTTTTCACAGCAGTAATACTATTACCGGTATTAAATGGCAGCACCCCTATACTTCAGTCCTCTTCATTTCCATCGAATTGAGGTATTACCAGCAGCTTCTGCCAAGACAGAGGCATTGGGAAGGGCAATCCCAGATGGAGAGTGTGGTCCTCAGAATATGTATCTAGGTGGTAAAGCCAGCATGTTGAATTGTTCTTAGAAGCCTAAAAAGAGCCGAGTAAGGCTGTAGCATTGGGGTAATATGCTCTTGGTGTTGTATACCAACTAACAGACAAGCTGCTGCATTCTGGCCCAATTGCACTTCCAGATGGTTTTCAAAGGCTGCCACAGGGATGTTAAACATGTTGCAATAGTTTAACCGGGTCAGGATGAAGGCATGAGTTAGTGCAGGGGTCGGCAACCTTAAACACTCAAAGGTCCTAACCAGAAGCCCATTGTTCAATTCTGGAGCCGACCGGAAGTCTGGTACCCCCACCATAGAGTCTCCTCCTAGCATGGCATCCTTTTTCCTCTACCTGTCCTAATCAAAAGCCCTATCAAATGTGGAGCCAACCAGCAACAGGGAGCTGCAGCAGTGGAATGAAAGAGCCACATGCAGCTCCAGAGCCATGGTTGCTGATCCTTGAGTTAGTGGATTAAACTGTGTATAAGGGGGGAAAGCATATAAGCTGGTGCACAATTTTTTTTTTTTTTNATATATATATATAAAATGCAATTATGTAGAATTCCAGCTTCGTTTTGTTTTTGCAATCACCAGATGGTCAAAATGCCTTTGTGAATTGTCTTTGCAATTGAATTTCAGGAAATAAGTATCACAAATGAGGATCATTTTATTATACAGAGTTTTTTTAAAAAGCATGTTCTTCCCAGTGTTCTTTTTTCAGTCCTTGCCATCAGAACAAAATTGATTTCTTGTAGACATTATAAGAGAAATAGGCCCTGTGGAGAAAATAATCCAGTGCCCCAGGGAAGCCAATTCAACCAACAGCAAAGCACATGCTGTACATTGAGTGGCTGTTGTTGTTCTTATTTTACAATGGGTGGGAATATATCACCATATATCATGAATGTTCTTGTTAAAGCTAACATGACTAACAGTTCATTTATGTGCACATAAATTTTTAGTGAGTCCATGTTGCAGATTCCTAAAAATATTTTATTCTGAGCCTGAGTTTAAGGCCTGTGTACAAACAATACAAGACTCCATGGTAGCTCACCCCACTGTTTCAAAGTCCCTGACCCAACCAACCAGCTTCATTCTCTGGCATAGTTATCTTCCTTGTCTGGAACTTGCATCATCAAAAATTGAAAAAAAACCTGGGAGCCATTTAATCTAATCCCATTCTTAGATATAGAATGCTATTATCACAGCATTACACAGAGTATATTTGTAACACTCTGTTAGTACATATTCATATTTGGTGGCTGGCTAGTCTCTTAAATTAAACACTGACAAAAATGTACTAAACATTCCCCTCAAGTAGCCCCCTACCCACCACTCTTGTGGTCATCTTGTCCTCAGCGTGGTATGGTCAGGGGTGGCTTGCTTGGGGTTCGCAGGGGTTCGGGATAACCTCTAGCTAAGAATTTGTGCAATTTGGAGAACCCCCAAATTCCACTTCTGACTGGCCCCGCTCACCCATTCCAGGAGTCCCCATGCAGCCTGTTTTGGATGCAGGTAAGTGAGAGCGTGCATGGAGGCTCAGGGAGGGTGAAAAACAAGCCTACCGGAAGTTCGGGAAGGACCTCCAAAGGACCTCCGTTTTCATCTTCCCAGAGGCTTGAGGAAAGCCTCCGGAACCCGGGGAGGGCAACTAGGCCGACTAGGCCATGTCCACCATGCTATGCCCACCCAGCAACTGGGCAGAGAATCCCTTGCTAAAAAAAATTAAGTCCACCCCTCGGTATAACCATTACTGTTATTTATCCTTTTACAATAGATTATGGCATATACTATATGGAGCCTGGTTGAGCCAGCTGTCTATTCTAGGGTTTTTAAATCCAAAGGTTTTTTGGGCGGTGGGTGGGGGAATTCCTTAAATTTAAACAATTATAGCAATTATTATTTGATTGGAACCCACTACTGCAAGAATTATCTTAAGTAACATTGAAAGTGATGAAAGAATTGGCAGCTTTCTCTTGATAGCTCAGCTGTTCCACCTCATTCCATGTCTGAACTGGGATGTGACAGCAGGTGGAAGCTCCTCTATGAACAGGCTCATTGACATCTATTACCTCTGTCAAGTCTGCCTCCAAAGTACTAACTGTGTGAGTCACCTGTGCTACATGAACTTTGTTGGTTACTCTTTTATGCAGAAGGCAACTGAAGATCTTCTTAAATCCCTTCCGGAAATGCTTGGATACCAGGGCATAGACAATAGGATTGACACAGGAATTGGCATATGAGATTATGTGAGACAGGACCCTGAACACAAAGGTAGCATTGTTGAAGGGAAAATAGCCAAACCAAAAACAAAGGATGACCAAGTGGTGGGGCAGCCAACAAAGGCAGAAGAGAACAGTTACAATAATGATCATCCGAGTGACTTTGCGTTTACCTTTCTTAGAATCAGACATGACTTTCATGGGATCCACAGATGTCCAGAGATAGCGGATGGTCCTTAGATAGGTGAAGCTGAGAATCAACACTGGGATGACATAGCTGAAGAAAAATGTGCAGAGATCCATAATCTTGCGCTGTGACATTTCCCAGATGGGATGACAGACAGTAATGTTGGTAATCTGATACTCCTGGAAGTAGCTGACATAAGGTACAGAGAAGACGAATGAAAGACCCCAGATGAAGCAAATCGCTATGACAGCATTTTTGGGTGTTCTCAGTTCTCTGGAGTGCAAAGGATACCTTATAGCCAAATACCTAGGTAGACAAAAGGAATGCAAGAAAAAGCTACTGTATTGAGACATGCCAACAGGTGAAGAAAATTCAGAGTTAGTAGGCTGCAACTCAGTGGTGGGTTTCAAAAATTTTTAGAACCTCTTCTGTAGGTGTGGCCTGCTTTGTGGGAGTGGCTTGCTCGCCATGTGACTGGGTAGGCATGGCCAACTTGTAAAATGTGGTGAAACTCACTTAACAACACTTTTGCTTAGCAACCAAAATGTTGGCTCAGAAACTCTGGCATTTGAAGCANACCATATGTGATAATAAGTCCCTTGCACTTTTTTACACTTCCAGCAGGTCGGCTTCATATTTGGGTACATTTTAGCCAATCTTGTTGGTGATAAATGCCAACGATAAAACACAATTATTAAACTAGTGAAAGCTAAGTGAAGGCCACTGTGGCCATAGTTTCCACCTGCCCTGTTAGCACAGTCTTGAGTAGGAGGACCCCTAAATTGTGGAGTTGCTCCCTCAGGAATTGTATTTCTCTATCCAATGACAACACTGGGATCAAGAGAGAACCGCAAACACAAACACAAGCAGCAGCTCTTTCTTGTTTGTCTGTTCGATCCCATCCTCACTCTACAAACCTCTGAAAATCGGAACACGATAATGGCATTTCCAGCCCAGTATGGGTAGCAGCCTGAGGGTAGCATTGATCATATTGGACCCTCAACAGTGGAATATATCTTTGTATAGGTTTTAAAAAGCAAAGGGTAGAAAACCAATGGTTTAACCCTGTAACGTCCCACACAAATATAGCCAATAGGCCAATCCCTGTGTCTATGGCAGATGTTATTTTTGTTTTATTTATTAAATTTGTTTGCTGCCCATCTCACCATGAGGTGTGAGGGGAGAGCCTTTCCTAACTTGCTACCATCTAGATGTGTTGAAAGACAGCTCCCAGCATTCCCAGCCAATTGTGAAGGTACACTGTTTTCAAATCAGAAGTACATTAAGTTCTGAATATGGTTGATAATTCAATTCCATCTGAGGGTGTGAGGTTAGTATAGACCAGGTGATGTTCTGGCCTGCCAAGTTGCAACATCTGGCCTAAGAGGTAGGGTGAAGAAAATCTGACACAGAAACGTTGATGTCAACCTTGTGTTTAATTGACAAAAATTCAACAAACAGCACCTGCCACTGTGCAACAAACACATAATAACAGATTATTATGATTGGCTCCAGGGTGTCCAAAGTGACAAGAGGATATGTGAATTTCAGTTCGCTGAACATTATCCAAAGTACGATATACTGAAAATTACCTTGTGTTAAATTGGTGTAAATGACATTGCAATGAAAGTAAGATACATTTGCCAGATAATACCAGTATGTAATGATCTGTTTATTTTGTATTTTTTTTAAAAGTCATCCAGACATTATGCTGTAGAAGAATGCATTCTTAACCAAACCTCTACTACAAAAATGAAACATGTTAAAACAAATGCCATATGGCACACACACAAACATATATATATATATATATATATATACATACATACATACATACATACATACATACATACATACATACATAC